TTCTTCCAGTAAATTCTAGACTTCGGTCGTTGTTTTGAATCAGGCGTCTGTTGCTTTAGCGACCCAGCAACTTCTCTGTTATTTAGCAACCTAGTCATGAGCGCGTGTGCCTTCCCTCTGGAAGATTTGAAACGAGTCATGGAGACTGGGTCTGCTGGGAGCCTGGCACTAGTTAGACCCATGTGTACACTCTCGATTACCGACGTTCACTCGCACAATTTTTATTGGTACCTTCATCAAATTGATTTCCCAATATTATTTATCTTTGGGGATAAAACAAGTCAATGTTCATAGTTGTTTACATCCTAGAAACGTGTGTGATCACAGGCAGCCCAAGCTCTCTTCAAGAACCACACAAGGAACACAATTTGCACATCGATTTATAAGGATTTGTGTGGGATTTTCTACAAGATATCCATGGAGATAGTTAAAAGTGAAAATATTAAATAAAAATGGCTTACCTTATTCCATGCGTGTGTTGTTTGCTCCTGGTGTCGTTATTTTACCGATTTAACTTGATTTAAGCAGTTTTTTTAAAGCCTGCTTTTCTCTTCTTAAGAGAAGACGGCTTAATTAAATTGTTTGCTCCTGGTGTCGTTATTTTACCGATTTAACTTGATTTAAGCGGCTTTTTTAAATCATGCTTTTTTCTTCTTAAGAGAAGACGGCTTAATTAAATCGGTAAAATAACGACACCAGGAGCAAACAATACACGTATGGAATAAGGTAAGCCATCTTTATTTAATATTTTCACTTTTAACTATCTCTATGGATATCTTGTAGAAAATCCCATGCAAATCCTTATAAATCAATATGCAAATTGTTCCTTGGTTCTTAAAGAGTGCTTGGGTTGCCTGTGGTGTGATGCATGCCTTTTTATTCGCGGTAGATTCACTTCCGTTACATGAGAAGTCACAAGACTGTCACGCAATGTCTAGTTGCGTAAGTAGATGGAGTTGAGGAGCAAGGAGTTGCTCTAATAATCTTAAAATGATTAGGAGTGGAAAAAAAAACGCTACTGCAACAAAATCGTCAATGGAAGAGAGGGGAAAAATTCCCGGAATGACAGGTATGATGAAGAAACATTTTAAAGGAAAATCAAGCGACATAAAATTGCACGATCTTTCCGATTTTAGATGGCGACGAATGTTGCTCAAAGTGGAGTCCGCAATAGCAGCTGGGTAGACAAATTGCTGACGAATATGTTAAAGGAAAGTTGAAAAAAAGTTCCATGAAGCATTGAAACTTAATGTTTTCCAAAAGTTTTTCATCTAAGTCTGTTCGTCTAATTGTAAGTCTTTTCTGGAAGCAAATAAATAACTTTTAGAAGACTAGATAAGCTAAGGCTATATAAAGAACTTATTATTGCAAGCCGTTGCCATTTTGGTTCCGATAGCTTCAATCACCAATCTTCGTTTACGAAACCAACGTCGTTAATAACGATAAATACACAGAGAAGATGCTTATTTGGGGCCAATTTTGGCTTAGTGTTATTTCTTTATCATGTTCGACTATGTTCTTGGTTGTGTCGGACGCTTTGTGATGTTATCCTCAGTATTAGCCTAATATTCCCATTTATTATCCGACTACACTTCGCAGAGTTCAAATAACGCCATAGATGAGTACAAATATCACGCGTTATTTGTACTCTAGAGTATCGGTAAACAGGTTTTCTCGCATCGCAGAAAAAAAAAATGGTGGACAATTTGAATCATATTTCCGACGACGAAGAGTCAGAATGGCTGGCAAAAATATATCCAAGTTTATCAGATGAATCGAACGAATAAAAACAGCTAGACGACCAGGAAATTTCTTCATTTATTGAAGAAAATAGGAACAGCAACACGACAACGAGCCAATTCCGTTCCGCTTCGCATACTTCTGTCACGCGCTCCTCGTAAATAAATATTCGCGAAATTCGCCCGCACTGAAATAACAGTTTGGCGTGTTTGATAATAAATAAATTATAAGACGTTTTGTTGTGTAGTATCGCTGAGTATTTTTACTCGTTATTTGTATTTTGACTCGCCCTACAGGCTCGTCAAAATACGGCAGAAACATACAAACTATTGGGAGGAGCAAAATATAGTCGTTAGGCTACACCTGACGCTCGTAGCAAACATTAATCGAGCATATAGATGTTACATTAGTTTTGATGAGTTCGTATCCCACAGATTTGGATGGTGAGGACACTGAAAACGAACCTAAAGGTTTGCACATGAGTTCTGAAGCTTTGAGCAAGCGCTTTTCCAACTTGGTTATTAGAGCAATTGTTATGGATGATAAATAAATTATCTCTTGATGTGTCCTTAACTTGATCCTTAACTTTAAAAATTTAGTTTAATACTGATATAAATTACAGGTGCGATAGAAATCGGGTCTTATGAGAGATCTGATATAAACAACATTCAAAGTCGATGCGCTACAAATGTCTAACGAGTCGTGGGTCGTACGGAATTCAAACACTGAACAACTGGCTCGGAGTTGAGAGTAGAAGTTGATGATATTTTGGAGGCAATGATTTCACCTATCAGTCAATTTACATGGAAAACGTTCAATAAAAATACGCGGAGATAAAAAATAATGAAAGTTTATAAGTATATAAATCCTCGATTAAAAAAGTTATCGACTGTATCAAAGTCGAGTTGGGATATTTTCACATGGAAGAAAGTCAAAATGATAAACAACGCATCATGTTGGACAAAGGATAAACTCGTCAAAGAGCTTGGGCACTCTGAAATCTTAATCTACTCAAAAAAGAGAGAAAATTCATTTAACAATTAAACACAAACCGAAGATAGTCTCTTTTTCAAGGAAAGGAAGATAAAAAGGATTTCTTTTCACTTTCGAAAATCCTGAAGCGGATAAGAGAGTTAGAGAGTTCTTAAATTTAAGTTGAACTCTAACCTGGAGAAGAATGTTTGGACGAGATCCACCATGAAGTTTTGTAATTCCGCCGTTAATTAAAGATACAGTTGTGAATGTCAGCCGCAAACTTCCAAACCCTATTGACTTTGGCTGGGGTAATGATGACATACGCCACCAAAAAATGCAACCATGGTTTTTCTTTATTTTTCTTCCTTTGTGAGAATAGGATGTCAAGCATGTTTAATTTTATTTAGACCTCCTCGGAGAAGTACAGATTGAATGATTTTATCACAGTAAGAGGGTGTCTCAATGGGGTCGGTAGTCAACAGTCAAATGGGCAAAATATTAACCGTCAACAGTCAAAACGCAATATTTTTACCGTCAACAATCAACTAAGCAAGCCAACGTTAGCTGTCAAATGTCTCAGATGTCCTTGATTAAGAACTAAACGATTTCCCCAATAAGGATCAAGTTCTGTAGTTTATAAATTAAAGTTTTGATTCATTGAAAGAAGGTGTCATAAATCAACAGCTCTTTACAAACGCTTCGTTATGAAAAGTGACGGCCAAAATTCGCGCGTTTAGTTCGTTTTATAAACGACGTTCCAAAAAATTAACCGTCAACCGTCAAAAGGGCTTATTTTTTAACCGTCAACCGTCAACGTGACCCCCTCCCCCTCCTCCATTGAGACCCTCCAGTAAGCCACAAACTTGATGGCTTTGATTGGTTCCTTTTTGAAATGACAGCCCGTCATGCAAACGATACAACCAAGTTCTTTGTTCTGTAAAGACAGAATATCACGAACGTTTCATTACATCAAGAATTTCTCAGAAAAGCATGAATTCGATAACTTTGTAAGATGAGATACAGATTTGATAACTTTCTCAGAGAAGTAAAGATTTGGTAATTCGTTGAAATAATCGCAAATGTGACAATTCTCTGAAGTTGCAGCTGAGAATGGAGCTGTTGTTTACGTTGGATTCTTTCCAAAATCTAACCAAGGTCAAACGTCCGATGTTGTTTGGGGTTATTGCACACAAGCACGTAATACACACTCGGTATCCTTAAAAAGACGCCTGCTCCACAAGCTGAACATATCAATGAATAGTTTCGATAACCTTTTTTTCAGCCGTTTTTTTTATTCTTTTTTTCTACAATCGGCGACAAAATTGCTGACTTCATGTTCTTTTCAAAAAATCCTGAAGGTAAAAGCGCAACTGAAGCACGACTTGCAAACAAAATTTGCATACGAGTCAAGAGGTGCTTTGGGGCAGTAAATTTGGAGTAAAACAACTGAAGAAGATTTCGGCCTCGAAATGTACAACAGTGTAAAAACGGCGTCGATGTGAGCGATGAGAAAACAGGAGTCCAACACATGCCACTGTATTTGGTTTTTCCTAGTTACCTTAGATTCATATTTAGTCGGTTCTAGAACCTGTAGCTGAACTGGACTCCTTCAACGTTTAAAGAGAACACAATGCTTTTTACAACTAGTCTCTAGCTCTGAACTGCCGCTCTATTTCACAGACGCAACCTTCAGCCATTTGTATTCAACAAATAGTAGAGGTTGCAGGCTGGGATTCCTGAAGAGAAAAGGGGAACTGAAGCACGTCGGACAAACAAAATTTGCATACGAGTCTGAACTGTGTAAGAGGCGACGCAACACAGTAGTCACTTTTAAAAAAAACTTTACCGGCCCTGGAGTAATTGATAATTTGGTCTACCGCGAGTTCACGTCAAGGCGATTATAAGCAATGACCTGTGAAGTTTGCGAACAATCGGCGACCTCTACTATGGTCAAGCAGCCAAAATATTTGATCTCGGGACGGAATTTTAATACCTGCGTTTATGTGGAGATATAACAGGTCGAAAAGTTTGGTTTCGTAACTTTTTCGCCTAATGCTGATATGGCGAACAAGGACAGGACGGGGGAGGGGAAGGCAGGGACAAATTCCTCCCGTGGTACCTACCCCCCTTGTAAAGTATTCTTTTTAATAACGGCATGCCTGTATCACTCTGGTTCCCAGTAAACATACAAACTATTTGGAGGTGCAAATATAGTCGGTAAGCAAAAACTTACGCTCGTAACAAACTTTAATCGAGCAGTAGTTTTTGTTTGTTCGTCTCTCCAGATTTGGATGGCGAAGAGACTGGAAACGAACCTGAAGACACGAAGACACCAGACAACGATGATGGAAAGGATGGACTTTTCACTGCTTATCTAAAGGCTTTCATTTTGTCTATTTTAGCCATGTTTTCGGCCGGGTTTAAAGCCCTAAGGGGATTTCCAAGGTCTGTCTCTAAATCTGGGCTTGGGAAATATTTTTATTCACCCTCGAATCGATCGACGAGTGCGGCTACTATGAAAGGGACACAATATCAGGATTCGAGAAACACTCGTTCATTTTCATGTTCTACTGCCCGGTTTGATCCACAAAAACTCCGAGATGTATGGGGTAAGCCATCCTTTGATGTGGCGAAAATGATCCATTTGTTGGATCACGATAACCACGACAAGAGAGCGAAATTTCGCAAGATCTTTTCTGAGGATCCTCTGATGACCCCAAAGTACAACATTTCCCTGGACGAAGAGAGAGACTTGGCCTTGAAGAGACTGAAGACACTCTGTAATCAAGGATTTATTTCCGTGTTAGACTTCAAAAACAACCCTCTTTGGATCTTCGCAGCCCATGAAATGGCCGCCGTGGTGGATGCAGCAATGGCTACCAAGATGACAGTCCAGTTTAACTTATTTGGTGGTACTGTGTTGAAGCTGGGTACCGAAAGACACCATAACAAACTGCTAGAGGTAGAAATGTTATGCTCATTTTTCGATTTAGTTAGAGTATTGGTATATTTTATTTGAACTTTAACGTCTCCCGTAGTTTTACTGATAGGAAGCGATGCTACTGCGTTAGAGTGTTCCAAACATGTTACATAACTTAACCTACATAGACGGACGACAGAAACAATTACTGTTTGAGATTCTTGTTAAATTGGAACATTTTAGGTTGCTGATTCACCGTAAAACCAGAATTCATAATTTTCTATACTTTTTCCCTACATTTCCTTCCATACAAAAGAGAATTAATTTGGTTTAACCCTGTTCACAGTCACATCAGTATGCATATTCTCCATACTGTTCTCTATACATTTCCTTAGGTGCTGGTAAGGAGAATTTGTCTAAAATCAAGAGCTTTTTTTAATTGGTGATCATTTCCTTTATCCTCATGACCTTAATATTTGATTGAGGGGTGATATTTTAAGGAGAAATTAGGTGCTAGTCAGTCTAAATAGTCAAAGGGTTGAAAATCAAACCTGAGGTTGGTGATCATTTCCTTTATTCTTGTGATTGTAATGAATGATTCAGCAGTTTCATCATTGGGAGAAATTAGATGTTAGTCACTCTCAGGTTTTAAAGGGTTAAGTCCTATTGTGTAGGACTTAAGTAGTGCTCTTTACTACGAGGATCGTGCACAAATACGTTTCTATAAC